GTATTCTGCTTCCATTAATGGCTCTACAGTGTTTATAGTACAATCTGTGCAAAGATCTTAACAAGTAACCACAAGAGGGATCAAAATAAGAACATGCACATTCAAAACAAAGTAAATACAATACATACACAAACAAGTAAAATACAAAGAAATAACAGAACAAACCAACAAAGAGCAGGCTTCAAATGTATACGTTTATAACGGCAACCACTGTTAGCCTTAGGTGTTCTCCATCTTGCACGTCTTTGATATTCAAACTAACCTTAAGCGGGAGCACGTGCCTACTGTACTTTATTCTGTCTCGGTCTCAAAACAACGCACAGACACAAAAACACACACCTTCTCTCACGCACACACACATTATTTTCAACTATTTCCCTGTGTTCTCCGCAAAGCTCCATTCTTTTCCTCAGTTAAAGTCTTTATTAGAAGTCCCCTACCGTGTCCGACACACCACGCAACTCTGTGGCTGCCGCCGTGCCTTTGGTCCCAGTAACTACCCCAAACTCCAATAAATGCCACACAGTAAATAAACCACATAGTAACTTCTGCTCATATAAACTGTAACACAGGGACTGAAATACAAGATTATTTTGAGTCTGCTGAGGGTACAAAAATGTAATGCTATGTAGATATCAATATACTAAACAGGACTGGCAAAAAACAATCAACACCATATCATAAAGAATGACATCAAATGTTTAGAATTGATCAGACTAAACAGGCTATCAATAATGCTTAGAGAAAATAAGTGGGACTTTTCCCAAAGCTGTATTGACAATGCCTAAACAACACTAATAAGTTGTGATATTTTATTATAAATAATATAAAGTTTTAAAGGTGCCATAGTACAGTATGCTCATTTTCAGGTTCATACTTGTATTTCGTGTCTCTAATGTCACATGTTTACATGCTTTAATGTTCAAAAGGTCTTTATTTGTATCATACTGCCTGTGCTGCAGCACCTCTTTTCACCCTCTGTCTGAAACCAGAGCCCAGTCTGCTCTGATTGGTTAGCTGGCCGGCTCGGATGAGATTGGTCAACTGCTTTGAGATTTCAGCCCCTTAGCCAATTTGCGTACAATGTGTTGGAGCTCTAGCCAATAGAAGCGAAAGTGTAACATAGTGAGGTCACAATGTTACGGAGGTAAGCAAAGGACTCTTATTGAGGCGTTTCAGGCGGGGGTGGAAGAACAACTCCCTTGACAAGCACAAAAACATAAACAACAGGAAAAGGAAAACACAAACCCCAAGCCTGTTTTTCAGGTCTCAGGCTCGAAAATGACATTCCCAGAACAAATGACTATATCTTCACTTCTAAAAGGGGTACATTAATCATCTTTTTTCTCAAAGCAATGATACACCTGTGAGTTGGATTCAGACAAGTCAGAATCAATATAGATGTTTTTATTTTAAAGTAAATTCAGATTGAACATATGTATGGGTTGGTTCAAGGGGAGGTCATTCACAGCATGTGGGTGTGTGTGCCATGTGTGTATCGGGGACAATGGTGAACAGGGATATCCTCAGTAGGAACACTGACATTTAGTTTCCAGGTCACTCAGGCAGTCCTGAGTCTCAGGGGAATAAGGTGCAACCACCAGGCTGCCATGGTGACGGAACCTCAGTGGAAACTGATTCAGCACAGTATCTTCTCTGTGATCCATAAATCACTGGGGCACAAAAATGGTATTCGACGAGGTTGATCACACTCTGATATTTTGTAAAAGCACTGTTGGCCTTAAGCAAGAACTAAACATACAACGAAAAATGCCTATCATATCATATTGTAAAACATTATTGTTTTGTTTGTTTTAACGGACACGATAAACCGAAATGTTCAAAATAAAGCTTATACAGTATATCTATATAATAGCCTAAAAGTTTAGTTAAATGTAATTTAATTTCGTCAACTAATTTTAAATAAAGCAAACAAAAGTCTTAAAATATAAGACAAAATCTAAAAAAGCTGCCGAAATTAAGACTGTTTAACACCAATTAAATAGATATTTTGTTGTCTTTTTGTGGGTTGGGTACCAAATTAGTTTGCTTGTAAAAGCCAAATAATTTTAAGGACTAAATGTGTAATCATTAGCCCTAATTTAATGAGCTGAAGGAACTGGCTGTAGTTGACAAGGAAGTATTTGGTGAGTTAATAATTAAATCAAAAAAGGAGTTTGTCCACACAAACATAATTACATACCATAATGAGAAAAACAAGGAGACCAAATCCTCTTTACATAAACAGAATAAAAGAAAATGCCCCAAAACTGAACAGTCTTAAACAAATTATAGCACCAACAAATTATTGTTGCATTACCCTCATTGGTGGGGCTTTTATCAAATTAATTTAGCTGGTAGCAGAATAATGATTTCAGGGGAAAGTGAGGAACATGAGGCTTTCATTTGTACAGAAATGTATTTTTGGCACAATACTAGAAGCTGCTTATTGAAGCCTAAACAGTCGGACTGCATATACATACCGTATATATGTGCTCACCTTGCCAATAAAAGGGATGTCCACAGATCCCCAGGTGTCCGCCCCCCAGTGTACCATCCCTGACGCAAAGTCTGCCGTCACTATTCCCAGGACTGGCACACGCACACAGAAAGAGAAACCAGGAGAAAGGAATAACATATGTTGTTATTAGATTAACTAAAGTATTACAAAAAATCCATATGTGGACTGGTACAATGATGTGGGACTGCACTGGTTATATCTTTAAAGGGGGAAGGTTTATTTTAGCTTTCTCTCTCAGACTCACCGATGCCGAGGATGATCTTGTAGATGTGAACGGTGGAGAAGTGCAAGAGGAGGAAGGAGAAGTTGATGAAGAAAAGCAGGAGGCACAGAATCACACATTTTTATTCTGTGGCACTCTGCGTTGGTAAGTATGGAAGAGAGAAGGGTAAAGACGAGAGTGGAAACTGGAAAACGTTGTATTAATGACCTGGGTCAAAGGACCATTTCAATACAATGACTGGCTGTGTGTGTGTGTGTGTGTGTGTGTGTGTGTGTGTGTGTGTGTGTGTGTGTGTGTGTGTGTGTGTGTGTGTGTGTGTGTGTGTGTGTGTGTGTGTGTGTGTGTGTGTGTGTGGTGTGTGTGTGTGTGTGTGTGTGTGTCCAGGGTGTTAATATGTAATCAGTCAGATGAAGACAAATGTACTCCAGGCTGCCAGGTCGTGACCTCTCATATGTGAAACACCATCGCTGACGCAGCACCAAGTCCGCATGGACACACTTGCGCGCACACACATACACACACACAGGTATGTTTCAGGTGGGAGCTAGGCCTCTGCAGGGACAAGGCCAAACTCATAGGTCAGCAGTATTAACTAAAGGACAGAGGGAGAGGGACTAACTAAAAACTACTCATACTCTAAACTCGCACATCAGCAATAATATGAGAGAGCGATTTGAGGGGGTCAAACTGAAAACCCTTTAGCCACACGACCCTGAAGATTAGAGACAATGAATTATTGAAAGCCCACTCACACGTCCCTGATCTATTCATTTAATATGGCAGAGCACCATATCCTATTGCAGGGTTTTTACTTTAACAAATGCTCAGTCTATTTGGATACTTCCCTTACAGTAGTTCACTGCATTTTGTGAATTTCGACCATATTGTATTGTCTCAAATCACACACAGATGCTTTACCCTCACCCCAAGTGAGGATTGCCGCTTTAAGCTAGCTTGCTATCTAGCTAACTAACAGCGACAATCGTCACTTAGCTAGCTCGCTAGCTAATTAGCTAGCAACAATAGTTTGTGTTAACAAATGATAACAGCCTGCTTAATTAAACATATGGAATGATTAGTGGCTTCTCTTTGGTACCAGTATATCCTGCCTCTATACTTAAATGGTGGGGAAAAAACTAAATTTTACATTTGTACAGTAGGCTACTGTGTTCACCGCAACAACCGTAATCCCGGCTGGTCGCGTAACATCTGTTATATAGCCAAGATGGCGATTATTGAATGTAAGAAGTGTCCAGCGTTCCACATTCAACTTTTCAAACGCATATGCATATGTCTTTAGCCTTCAATCTTTGAGTTGTCCCTTTATATACTTTGTCTCTTTGTTCAGTATTGTCTGACCTATCGGCCAGAACAGGACATTTGATAATAGAATATATCAGAAATAAACTACAAAATGTACAAAAATAAACCACCACTGTTCCAATTCTAAGTAACTTTCTTTTGTTCTGTCTCTCATCACCCACTCTCCGTCACCCTTCTCCTAATCCTCCTCTCTTTGCCAGGCAAATGGCCGTTTAAAACTTTAATGTCTTCAGATCCTAACGTATCGCACAGCATTAGCAGCCTATAAGAAATTCATGACAGCTTTTTTTAATAAAGCACACAGGCCTGTGAGTGTGTGCGCCTATAGGCCTGTGTGACTATGAATATGCTATCAGCCTCTCATAAGGTAAGGATTGAGGTGGTCATGGGAGATTTAAAATATATGATTATGGATATTATAAAGATGATCAGATGTGACCCTTCACCTTCTAAAAATAGATGGTATCAAAGTTGTGAAGAGACAGATGGCTAATTTAAGAGTAGAGTGAAGTTTAGCTTCTGAATGAGTTTGACTTCAAAACCTTCTTCTGATTATAGCTGGGCAAAGAAAATGATCTGTTAGTTTTGCCTTATTTTAGGTGCTGCTTTCTCCACACAGTTTAACTGTAAGCTGCTAGCCTGCCTCTGCACAGAAGTAACAAAACCCACCTTACATTAACTGTTAAGATAATTTTGTAGAATTTGTACAAAACTCAAGAAGCAAAACAAACAATGTAATTGTTAATGGCTAATTGTCAAACTTTTACAGTATTTATTGTATCATCAACTTCCTTTTAGTGATACTAACCTAAATAAAAAACCAAATAAAAGCACAGGGTTATTTTATGTAGAGGAGATTGTTATCAGCAGCTTCTTTTTCTTCTTATACATACCTGTAGTAATAATAGGAGTAAGACCATCCATAAGTATTGCAACTGCTTCCGGATTCAAGGCATACAATAAGGCAGGATTATTTGTTTTGTTTTACCTAAAGAGGTAAGTTCATGTATTGACAAACCAAGACAATAAATAAAAATGTTAATTAATGCTTCATATAGTCCATGTAATGTGTTTTCAGTCTACACAGCCTAAGTCCATACTGAGGTTAAGTAGATCGCAGCTAGCTCTGTTGTCTCCAAGCTTCATGTGACACCATTTTCTCCACTCTGCCCCAAGGTACACACACACACATGCACACACATGCACACACACACACACACACACACACACACACACACACACACACACACACACACACACACACACACACACACACACACACACACACACACACACACACACACACACACACACCACACACACACCACACACACACACACTTTCTCCAACTTTCTCCAAACATACAAGTGAGCGCTTGCACACACAGAATGATGCTCCAACTGATCCTAACACATTCTCACATCTCTCTCGATTACACACACACATCCTCTGACACATACACAAATTCAGACACTCCATCTCCGTCACGTACACACACACACACACACACAAACACACTGTGCAGGGCCGGGGAGCAGTGGGGCGGCTGTCAGGTGATGTGCGTCAGTCCTTGGATCCTCTGGCTCCCTGGTGAGGGGAAGGAAACTAGGACAGGCCTCCGCAGAGCACAAACACACTCTCTCACACACACTCTCACACACACACACTCTCACACACATAAGCCCTTGTCCCTCAGGCCATGGCATTGCTGGATATCACACACAGCTACAGACAGACACACAAAAACAGCTTCTAAAAGCATGTATGTATGGACGGACATATGTTAGCATGTTTAAACACTTACCAAACTTCTCATTCTACAGCACACACAACCCATTTTCACTAGGCACACCAAAATGAAAGACATATTCTTACATACACGTAAACACAAAGACACTGGTACACACACACATCTACACACACTCTTAGGGCCAGAGCAGCGCACTCATTAATATTGTTCTGACAACAACTGGCTCCCTGGCAACCTCTCTGCCATCGCTCACCCAGCAGCACCCCCCGCCCGTGAGCGCACGCGGGTGTGCACGGGGATTTAACCTGGGCGGAGCCAGGGGAGGGGAACGAGGGGTGCTAATAGGCTGAAATTAATCAACGCCGGCTGATTCGCTGTCTGGGGAATGAGTGGCGGGCAGCCGGCAAGCAGGCAACACATCCTGAATACTAATAGACTCATGGAGAGGGGAGACAGAAAGTAGAGCCCTCTGACTCTCTCTACTGTCAGGTTACAGGAAACTGAGTGAAAATAAATATACTGTACTGTAAGAGCAATGTTTCACCTAGACTTACAATAGAATGTAAACAAATTGAAAAAAATTGTTTGGCACAGATCAGCACTACTGAAATGCAGCCTTTATATTTTATATGACACAATACTCCACCACAGCTTATTTGAGATACTTCTCAACAGAAAGAAATCCTTCAGACTAACCTGGAAACATTTGAAACCAGAACAGTTTTTTTTTGTTTATTTCTGCAAAAAACTGGATCAGAAAGATTTAAAACCTTTTTTTGCAGTTCCTAATTGTTCGAAAAAACACTAAAAGCTGAATCTAAAGTTATTTTCCTTCCCTAAGCCGAGTTTCATTAGTTTTGCCAAAATAACTTGATTTAATTGTATTTAAAATAACATTTCCAAAGAAATAAATCCTTTGAATCTGCCTATTCAGTTTCTGTTTGAATGTGAAGGGTTAAATGAAAGAAGCTCCTTTAGCCGTCTCTGGGTGTTTCTCAATCTCGAGTAAAGCTGCTCCAGAGCCACTATTTCAAGCATACTACGTCCTCGAGTGCCTCCGAAGTACTGTTCCAATCTCCAGCATACTTGGAAATCTACCGAGCCCGGCGTACTTCGTCTGGAGAAATTTCGAGGCTGCACATGTGTACACTCCGCAGTCTTAAAATCCCCACAATGCTTTGCGCACGGACCAATTTCCCCAAATCTGTGGCGGAAAATGTAAGGCGGGGCCTCTCATATGACGCACACCTGCACACTTGCTAGCCTGTTCCAAAGCCTGTTTTCCGAATGCCAGGAAGTATTCTTGCCTCGCTTCTGAAGCAAGTGACTCGGAAGACATGTGCTACCAAGCAAGCGTACTCGACATTGAGAAACACCCACTGTGAAGAGACGAGCTAATTGGTGGTCCTGCTGTAAATTCACAGAGGGCCCGCTATAGTAACTGAACGAGAGAGTAATGTCAAATGACAATACAATTGACCAATCATATCTTCCCTCTAAATGGGTGGGTTTTATTATCGCGGACTTTATGACAAGTTCCGCCCGCTGTGAAGCTTTTCTTGTTTCCATAGCAACAACAACTTCCTGTCAACAGCGTAAACTCGCCTTCAAAATAAAAGCATGCCAAATTACACTTAAGACATACAACTGCAACGAAAGTAACACACACACTGCAATATTCCTTTTCAATTTCAAAGAACACAAATTGGGTTCACAGGTGTTGTTTTGTGTGGTAGAGGGTCGCTTTCATTGCTGCGTTTTGCACCCCGGGCCGATGTTTTGAAAGTATACGCTGTGACGTAATAACTCTTTTTTTTTTTTTTTTTTCGAGGGAATTGGTGGGGTTCAGAGGGCCTAGGTATAAAAGTCACGTCTCGCCAGTGCTCTGCAGTAATGCAGCAAATTGGTGGCGGGGCTTAAGAAAAATGCAAGTGCTAATGCTCTATACGCCGAGACCCCCGGATGATATCTGTATTCTTGTACTCCAGTCAGGCCATTTTGGCATCATGCGCCACTCAGCAACAGGACCCCGCCTAAAACACTGTATCCAGTTGTCTTTAT